TAATAAAAAATAATATTGGGAGGATCACTTCATAGATTATATAAATGCCTAATCCTTGTGCTGTACACCTGAAACTAATATAAAATAACATTGAATGTCAACTATAATTATATGTATATATATGTATATACATATGTCATCACAGGGTATAAAGTACAGCATAGGGGCTATAGTCAATGGTATTGTAACAGCTATGTACAATGTTAGAATGTTAGTATATTTGTGGGGTTATCACTTTGTGAGGGGTGTAATTGTCCAATTATTACATTATTTTGTACACCTGAAACTAATAAAAAATAAATAATGGTACCAGACCAAAAAAAAAAGAATTCTGACTAAGGGGAAGAAGGTCTGGAAAATATATATTCTGTTCTGAAAATTCCAAGTACCTAAATTTGCTCCCTTTTCAAAGCTGGGAATTAGGTTGCTGATAGTAAATCATACATGCATTTAATGAGTAATAATCCATGGCATTGAAAATGTGCCTTTGTGCAAGTGTAATTAAGGATGTCTCTACAACAGACTGGGATCTATGCAGGGTAATTCCAATAGTTCAGTTCACACCCATCTATCCATTTTGTCTCACTAGAATATCCCCTCTCTCCACAAAGAAAATGAAACTAGTCCACCTTTTTACACTATATACAAGAATAAATTCAAAATGGTTTAAAGACTTAAATGTAAGACCCAAAACCATAAAACTCCTAGTAGAAATATAGGAAGTAAATTCTTTGACATTTGTCTTAGTAATGATTTTTGGTTATGTCTCCTCAGGCAAGGGAAACAAAAGAAAAAAAATAAACAAATGGGATTGCATCAAATTGAAAACTTTTTGCACAGCAAAGAAAACCATCCATGAAATGAAAAGACACCTTACCAAATGGGAGAAGATAGTTACCAATGATATATCCATTAAGGAGTTAACATAAGGAACATAAGGAACTCATACAACTAACCCCCAAAAGACAAACAACTCAATTAAAAAAATGAACAGAGGACCTAAATAGATATTTCTCCAAAGAGGACATACAAATGGCCAGTAGACATATGAAAGGATGTTCAACATCACTAATCATCAGAGAAATGCAAATAAAAACCACAATGAGATATCACTTCATAGCTGTCAGAGTAGCTATATCAATAAATCAACAAACAAGTATTGGGGAGGATGTGGAGAAAAGGGAACCCTCATGCACTGTTGGGATTTGAAATTAATGCAGTGACTATTGAAAACAGTATGCATGTTCCTCAAAAAAAATTAAAAATAGAACTACCATAAGACCCAGCAATCCCACTCTGGGTATTTACCTGAAGAAATTAAAAACATTAATTTGAAAAGTTATATACATCCCTATATTCATTGCAGCATTACTATACTATACTATTACAATAGCCAAGATAAGAAAGTGTGTCCATTGATAGATGACTGGATAAAGAAGATTATATATATATATATATATATATATATATATATATATATATATATATATGAATATTACTCAGCCATAAAATAGAATGAAATTGTAACCATTTGTAACAACATGGATGGACCTAGAGGGTATTATACTAAGTGAAGTAAGTCAGAAAGACAAAGAGCAAATGATTTCACTTATATATGGAATCTAAAACAACAAAATAAACAAGAAAACAAAAAATAAACTCATAGATACAGAGAACAAGCTGATGGTTGCCAGATGGGAGGGGAGTTGTGGGGTTGGATGAAAAGGTGAAGGAATATAGAAAAAAAAATAAATAAAGATGATTTTATTGTTGCTCAAAAATAAAAGAAATTAAGGGAAGGAAAATATAGTATAAAATGCTCTCCAAACTATGGTATCAAACAAAGCCTGAAAGTCCTCTGTGCTCCTTTTCTTCATCCTTCCACTCTGCCAAAAATGATCTTTGTAATGTCTCCATAGTTTTGCCTTTTCCAGGACCTCATGATTGCAATAATACAGTATGGAGCCTTTTCAGGTTGGCTTCTTTCACTCAGTAATGTGCATTTCAGTTTCCTCCATGTCTTTTCATGGTTTGAGAGCTCTTTTTTTTTTTTTAGCACTGAATAATATTAGACTAGATATACCAAAATTTATTTATCCATTCACCTATTAAGGGACATTTTGATTGTTTCCAAGTTTGGCAAATTGTGAATAAAGCTGCTACAAACATCTATGTGCAGGGTTTTGTGTGCACATAGGTTTTCAGCTCCTTTGTGTAAACACCAAGGAGCACAATTACTGTATCATATGGTAAGAATATGTTTACTTTTGTAAGAAACTGCAAAAATGTCTTATTAATTGTCTGTACCATTTTGCATTCCCACCACATGCTTGCCAGCATTTGATGTTGTCAGTGTTCTGGGTTTTGGACATTCTAATAAGTTTGTAGTGGTATCTCATTGTTGTTTTAATTTGCATTTCCCTGATGACATATTGCTGTGAAACATCTTTATTATATGCTTATTTGCCATCTGTATATCTTCTTTGGTGAGATGTCTGTTAAGATCTTTGGCCCATTTTTTAATTGGGTTGTTTTCTTATTGTTGAGTTTTAAGAGTTCTTTGCATATTTTGCATAACATTCCTTTATCACATGTGCCTTTAGCGAACATTTTCTCCCAGTCTATGGCTCATTTCTCATTCTCTTGGTATTGTTTATTGTGGATCAGAATTTTTCAATCTTAATCAAGTCCAGCTTATCAATCATTTCTTTCATGTACCATGTCTTTGGTTTTGTATCTAAATGTCATCACCCTACCCAAGGTCACCTAGGTTTTCTGCTATGTTATTACCTTCTAGTTTTATAGTTTTGTGTTTTACATTTACATTCATAGGTCTATGAACAANTCATGAGCTGCCAATTGGCAGCTGGTGGGTGACTGGACTTGGAGCTGAGCTAGCTGCACCCTCCACAACTAAGATTGAAGGACAGCAACTTGGCTGTTCCCCTTCCCCAATTCCAAAATAATCTTTTAAAAAAAAAATTGGACTTTCAATGAAGTTATCAGAGTTTTACCACACAAAAATGTTTACCAGCGTACACACACACAATACATGTTTTGTTCTATTTATTAATAATGGTTTATTTTGCAATTAACATTGACATATAGTATATTAGTATATCTAAAGCGGATGGACTTTGTTTTTTCTCGACAGCCTCCGCCACAGCTTAGTGATGCAGTTGCAGCACCTCCTGGCCAGCCTCTGAAACCTGTGACAGGTCACCCCTGATGATCCGCTCCTGTTATAGCTGCTGCTGGAGCTGCTGGAGCCATAGTTGGCAGTAAGGAAGTCCTCTGAGGTACTGCTCTGGAGGCCTGCGATAGATTTGGGGCTCCTCCACCATGGCCTGATGGCCCTGGGCTCCGGGCTGGATTCGGGGCTGGAACCGGGAGTGGTGGTCCACAGCTGCTGGCGGGCTGCAGGAGCAGCAGACTTTTTTCCCTCCTGCCCCAACTCGTAGTTGTCCTGGTGCTGCTCGGTCTGTTGGGAACTAGAGCACGACTGCAGCTCCCGAGCTGGGGCAGGATTCTGGTCAGTGGAGTTGTACGGCTTGACACGAATAGTGCGCCAATGAGATTTAGGCTTTTGTGCATCCAGGATGAGGTAAGCGGCCATTACGTTGTTAAAAGTTTTATTCCTCAGTGCATCCTGTATGTCGTCATAGCAGAAGCCCAGCTTCTTCATCTCCTTTTTAACCCAGGGGTCTAAGTTCTCTTTCGGTGGCTCATTATACAGCATCTGGTCCTCCTCCTCGTCCTGATTGAGCCATGAGTCAGACATAATATCGATCAAATCTCTTCTCTCCTCAGGCTTCACCCTTAGCATTTTCTTGAGAAAAGCTTCTAGTTCAAACGAGAAAAAGTAGGGTACAGTGTATTTCCCTTTTATCACTTGTTGTCCCAGCTTCTTGCAGTCCTGTGCCTTGAATGGGAGGCGCCCCGCGACCATCCTGAAGAGTGTGACGCCTAAGCTCCAAACATCGACCGCGGGTCCTTCATAATCTTCCCCAAGAAATAGTTCAGGAGCCGCATAGGACGGGCTGCAACACATCGTGGCTAGTTTGCTATCCCCGAATTCCGTGCCGAAACCAAAGTCACCTATTTTCGCATTCATTCTGCTATCGAATAAAATGTTCTCGGGCTTTATATCCCGGTGCGCAATTCCGNAAGACAAATAAAACAACAAGATAAATTAAAATCAAAATTAAAATCAAAGTATATATATATATATATATATATATATATATATATATATTCAACTATTAACTCATTTATTGAACCAGTTGTCACTAACCAATTTTTTTCTTCTTTCCTCTACTCTTTCACTGCACTTTGTTTGTGTTCTTGTGCAGTGTTTAATATGTTATTTAAAATTTTTTTGTTGTATAGTATATCAAGTCCTATGACACATTTTTCTTTTTTTCTTTTTTTTACAAGTTTGGCACTAACCAGTAGTGCTTGGCATATAGAGTCTCAATTATTTTGGTTGAATTTAGTCATTAAATCATGAACTCATCTATTTCATATTATAAATGATCAAAAGTAAAATCATGATATATTTAGTAATTAGATAAGCCAATAAATGTATTTGCAAAAGCATTTTAACACCAAGTACTGAAAACAGTGAGGTTTCTCACTGTCCTTCCATTAATTAGAAATTTAATCAGAATAGCTAGCTCTCTCAGTATCTTTGGTAACTGAAATTCTTACTTTATTCTATTTAGAAGAAAAAAAATTTATTATTTTACAGTATTTTATTAATATGAATTGAATTGAATTTTCTTTGGAGACCTAAATTATTGAAGTAAATGATTCAGATATATTTTCCAAACATGGCCCTTGCCACCATTTACTTTTAGCATGTTTATGGGAGGTGATTCCTAAGGTGCATGCAATCATAGTAGGCATATTAGTTAAGATGAGCTAGAATATGCTGGCATTGCCCTAAAATCTCAATGGCGCACAGCAACATTTTATCCCTCACTCAAAGTCCCATATAGTTTACTGAATTCTCCAAGGCAGTACTGCTCTGTGCAGTGACTTAGCAGCCTACTTGCTGCCAATGCTGTGTCCATCAATGTCGATGTGTGGCCAACAGAAAACTATGAAAAGACAGTGCTGGAGAACTGAATGGGAAGTTTACATTGCCACAGTGTAGAAGGGGTACACAGCATTACTCTCACAATTTCCTTGCCAGAACTAGTGCAATGGTCCTGCACAACTACAAAGGGCTTGAGGAATGTGGGAGAACACGTGAATATTTAGTGGACACTCAGCGTTTCTGCCTTAGTAGAGAATAATGAGAGACTAGCTCATCCAAGAAGCTTCTATAAGGTTACTTGGAAAAGATGATTCCAAAAAGCTGTGAAAGTAGAGAGATATTAGCATCTAATGGGCTAGTTTTGCTTATACTAAAACAAAACAAAACAAAACAAAACAAAAAACAAAACCATAAAATACAGGGGACTCTTTATGCAGGACCATGGAACACAGCCAACATTGGTTGTGATAAGCAGTCTAGTGATGTCAAGTATATTATTTATAACACACTGTTTTATAGATGATATGGCAGTGTTTAAAAACATCATCAGAGCCGGAATGTTTGGGTTCAAGTCTTAATTCTACCACCTATTTGTTGTGATTTTTGAGCAAGATAGTTAACTTTTTGTATACCACTATTTTCATCTATAATTGTAGACATTAGATGTACTGACTCAAAGAGTTATGGTGAAAATGAAAGGAATTGATATTTGTGAATAGCTTATATTAGTGCCTAGTACCTAAAAATAATAAATTGGTATTAATAAATTGGTATGTATAAAACAACTAAAATTTTTTAAAAACCACTTTATTAATTTTCTTGACATATTCTAAGTAGTTTGGGAGAAGAATTCTAAAAATTAAGAGATAATTTGGCTATTATAAAAAACAATGCAGCAGATAATATAATGAAGTATCAGAAAAACACATTTTAATTAAAGGTGCTGGCCATCCCATCTCTTCTCTTTCTCTTATGCTCCCCACACCCCAATCCTTTTGTCAGAGGCATTTCTTGTGTGTGCGCTAATAGCAGATCCAAATTAGACTGAGTTTATTCAAAGTTAAGTCATAAATTGAAAGACTCTAGAATGGGCAGCTATGTATAGACTGCAAAAATAAAATAATAAAACAAAAACAACAAAATAACAAAATAAGCAGATTAATAATATGTATCAGATTAAGAAGTATAAAAAGAAATATATTAAACAAATAAATGTCTTTCTAGTCTCTCAAAGAAAGTAAAGTGAAAAAACCTTGAAAAATGGAAAGAGAGATATGGTTATTTAAAAACTAAATGATAAAGCAACAGAATATGTTGACAAATTGAGAGTCAAGAAAACAAATTGGAGTTAAATAATAAAGCTATTACAGGAATGCAATAGAAGCAATAGGAAAAATGCAAAACAGAGTTAGTAATAGAAAGAAAAATCTTTACAAAATCACACTAAACAAAACTAAAACTAAGAATAAAAGTAATAAATGATAATATGATAGCTAGGTGAAACAAAAATTATTGAATGCATCATTAGCATTCCTTAAAAAAAAGAAAAACTCAACAGATAGAAATTGAAGACAANATATAAGGCCTCACTGGCCATTAAAAGACTATGGCTTTTACTTTGATTGGGGTGAAAAGCTACTGGAAAGCGTCTTATTCAGAGATGTAACATATCCTGGCATATTTACAAGGGTCACTCAGATTGATAACTGTGTTAACCTTACCAAAAGGAAGTCACACCTTGACAAATGTTGAAAGAACATTTAAAAATACATGAACCCTTAATGCAGTATTTATGCTCAAGACCAGAAATGCGATGACTTTTTCAGAACACAATCTATGATTTGCACATATGAATTGCTCTGCTCCATATGCAGAGATTTTACATTCAGCAATATATACATGTAATCTTCACAACAATCTGAAGATATCTTGAATCCTCATTTTACAAATGAGGAAAAAGTGCATAGAAGTTTCCCAAGGTTACACAGAGAATAACTAATTAGTAGAGACAGTTTTCAGATTTGGTAAATCTGAATCCAGGCCTGCTGGCCTTCTTAGCTAGTCTGTTACCATTATGCAATATCACCCTCCAATCACATTGTCCTACAGCATATTTAAAGAGAGAGAACACTTGTGGAGTGACTTTTCAATGAATCATCATCCAATTGATCTAGAATATGAGACAATTCACATGTTAACTGCAATTTTCCTTTAATGCATTTTGTGTAACCAGAATAGATACTGATGTATTTTTATGATTTAATTTCATGTAAACCTCTGGCAAATAGCATAGTCCAAAAGGGGTTAAAGAGTCCTGAATTCATAGTGGTTAATAAAAGCCCTTTTGGGTTTTGTTTATTTCTAACTGGTGGAGAATTAATTTGTCATGCTCCAGGGGGTGCCAAGCTCTAATTAACACCTCATGTGTGATTACTACATTTGCAATCGATTGGCTGTGGAGTATGATAGAACCAAGAGTCTCAGGTCCCCATATTAACAAATGCTGGGTCCACAGTTTCTGGGCCTCATGTTAATCCAGGGGTAGATACAAGGATTAAGCCAGCTCATTAGTTGCTTACTGAACACGGGAGCATCACCCCTGTTATGCTATATTTGGAAGATATCAAAAAAGTATTTTGATGAGATTATCTCTAAGGATGCTATCCTCGTTATAAGGCAACAGGTAAAACTAGTCTTTTTCCCCTGAACATTTAAAGGAGTCCAAATTCTTAAGCTATGTAGTTAATGACATTCACACTTACACAAAATGGTATCTGCTCATTCCATCCAACTGTTGGTCAATTTACTAAATGATCAGATTACAACCTGCTATTTCTCGTGAGATAGTCAGATGGTTAAAACCACATTCTGAGTTTTTTCATCCTATTTTGATATCAGTATATAGTCATGTACTGTTCAATGAAATGTTTTGATTGAGCTCTAATTTGGATTACTTTAACAATCATTTTGACTGAGGTTGTTGAAAGACAGAATTTTAATCTTCAATTAGTGCCTTATTAACGTAATGGAAGTCAAGCTTCTTTTCCAGTGGCAAGGTTATTTCAGTAACTGTTCATGTCCCCTCGCCTTTGTATTTAATATGGCAATGCTTGTAGCCTAAAGTGAATTTGAAACAATGGAGAAATAACTGTTAAAGTGGCAAAGTGAGATATTAATAAAGTAAAAACGGTGAGAAAAGAATTGAAAAGTACAGTGATGTAAGTGAAGTAGTAATCAAGAAAATTGTGCCAAGTGTAATAATTACCAGTCATATCATGGCACAATTCCCCTCTAGTGTTAACTGCATTTCAGCATTTCAGTCTTTCTTTTTTTTTCAAGACTGAGGATGGAGTGGCAAACTAGTATACTCTGCTACATAAACTCTCATTTATAAAGGTTTTATTTCATTGAATAAACACATGTAATCCCATTTTAGAGAAAGATTTGGAATTGTAGTGAGTGTGCCAAAAAGCAACTTTCACACATAANCTCCTCCACAACTAAGATTGAAAGACAACTTGGCTGTTCTCCTTTCCCAATTCCCCAGCACTATTCCCCTCCCACAATTCCCCAATAAAATCTTAAAATATATATATATTGACAAATGAACATATGAAAAGATACTCAATGTTATTATCAGGGAAATGCCCATAAAGCCATAATGAGATATGTTACTTACTCATTAGAGTGGCTAAAATTAGAGTGACTATAAAGGTATTGGCTAGAATAAGGAGAAACTGAAACTTTCATGTACTAGTTTTAACTCCTTCATTGCAAAATTATAAGGTTTAAAAAAGATAAAATGTCAGAAATCTATTTGTGTCAAATAACCTAAAATAGCATCAAAATACATACATAAAACCAGCTGAAAATCCATAAAGGAAATCTACATAGACATATAATGTTAGGAAATTCTAACTCATTTTTTTAGATAAAAACCGTAAGGAAATAGACTATTTGAGTAATTTATTAAATTGACTAGAGGTCTCTCTCTCTCCTCTCTCTCTCTCTCCTCCTCCTCCTCCTCCTCCTCCTCTCCCTCTCTAGAAGCAGATAATATTCTTTTTCTTTTC